CAACTCCTGCTGTGCTACATGGCCATGTATGATGTATTTGTCTTTGCGGGGCTGGCTCTCCAGCCTCCTGGCAATGACTTCAGGTTTCCACCAGGTCCTCTTTGTGCAAACACAGGTTCACCAGTATCTCCTCCCCCTGCCAAATCCTGCATCTGCCGAGGGGCATCGCAGGGGCCGGAGACAGGAGGGAGGTGTGGTGTGGGAGATGCTCCATCATGTGCCAAATCCCGGGGGCTTCTCCTGTAAGAGGTGGCCTTAGGAGATCTTTTTGTCCCCCAGATCAAAGGCTGGTGGAGGCAGATTTTGTGTTCACCTTCATCACACCTTGCAGGGAGTTGTAGGTGCCCAGTTCAGGGCTTTCAAAGCTTCCAGGAAAGATGGATCAGCAGCTTTGCAGCAGTGCAATCCACTTGTGTCACGGCCCCGAAACCTAGAAAGAACAAGTGAAGATGATGGAGGCTTTGAGGTTGCTCTGAACTGTGCCGAGGGCAGGACTTGGAGCTGGTGTCCCTGTCTTCTGGCACCCCCAAAGCAGGAGCACTGCACTCTGCTGGGGCATCCTTGGGGTGGACGACCCGATCCCGCTGGCCCTGCCTTGAGCGGGGTTTGGACCTAAGAGCCTAGAGTCCGTCCTTGCTACTCGGGATGCTGTCTGCAGAGTTGGGGCATTGATTCACCAGCAGAAAAGGGCAAGAATGGGGTAAATTCATCAGGTAACTTACTTTCTGTGAGCCGTTTGACCAGTGTATTAATTATGAAGTAGGCTCCCTTGTAGAGTCAGGTGGCAGTGCAGGCCTTGAGGGGCCTTTCCACTTAATTATAAATATTAATTTGCACGTCAGCCAACCAGCCAGCACCCTCCCTGCCCCAGATTTTGAGCTGAGATTAGTCTGTCTCTGCCAATCCCTGCCTCCACCCAGCACACCCCAGAGCTGCCCTTTGCTGGGATGGCTTGTCTGCATGTGCCTCTGCAGCGGTCCCTGATGGAAATGGTCGAGGGATGCTCAGTTTGGGGTGGGGAGATGAATCGAGGGTTGACTTGATCATTTGGGGGTTCAGCTTCTGCTTGGGGTCCCTGGTGTGAAGCCCTCTGCCAGCGTGCCTGGATCTGTGTGTGCCGTCCCCAAGGGCTGCCGGTGCCGCTCCCGATGGGACGATCGGAATGGGAGCAGGTGCGATGTGTGACCCCTGGCATGGGCAGCAGAGGCATGGTGGGTGCGGTAGTGTGTGGTAGTGCCTGAATTTCTGGCGGGCTCTGTGGTAGTAAAAGGGCTTTGCATGGGCAGGGTCATCACGCATCGCTCGTGGTTTATTCTGCTAAGTCCCAAAGAGCAGGGACTCATTTTAAATGTGATCATTCTTCCCCGCCCCGCCCTAGGAAAAGAAATCCATAGGTGCAGGTCTTCATCTGGAGGCGAGGGCGTGCGCTTTGCTCAGCTGCTGCGAGCTGGAGCGGTGCCCAAGGGCTGAGCATCACTCTGCCAGCAGCCAGCCCCAAAGCCTGCAGGTGCGGCGGGCCCAGCGGGAGCTCACCCTTCGCTCCGCAGCCTGTAAATAAATAAAATAAAATAATCATCCTGATTGCAAACACAAAGCATTGGAATTTCCCCCCCCTCCCCGAAAACATGTTTTTGTCTGCTGGTGATTGCTCACTATTCAATTATACTTTGGGGATTAGCATATATTTCCCATCCTGCCTCCTCTCTCATTTGCATTCTTCCAATAGCTCCTCTCTGCTCTTTTCTCCACCTGAAGTCTCTTCCCCCTTTCCTCTGAAGAAGTAAAACTAACCCCTTTGCCTGGGTGACCTATAAAAACGCCTTCACTTTTTTTTTTTCTTCTTCTTCTTTTTTTCTCCAGTACATATGATGAAAAGCATGAGATCACTGGGATTTTTATAGCCTGATCTGGCAGCTTTTTCAAATAACTTGGATGGTGAGATGTAATTTTAGTTTGGGTCCTTGCCTAAAAATAAAGAATAATTATTAGCACATCAGACGTGGATATTGTAAGTGTTCGAAAAGGGTTTAAATTGTTCTACAGATACCGGAGCTGCTGCCCTGTGTCAACACACCGGTCTGTCACAGCCCCAGTCCCATCCCTGCGCCATGCATCCCGAGGTACTACAAGAAACCTTAACATGTGCCAATAAATAAATCAGAAATGGGTCGTGCTGGGTGACACGGGTGGCTGTCTGCAAAAAAAGAAGGAAAAAAAAAAAAAAAAAAGAAAAAACAGCATGCTTTGAAGGTTAATAAGCAATTAACAGGTGAGATGAGTTCCAAAGCAGGAGGTTGTGTTTTGAGGGTTGTATTTATTATTAGCGGTAACGTGGTGGTGATATCTGTGTGTACTAGCGAAGCCTGGCTGCTGGGGAGAGGCGATGATGCCTGTTACTTAGCGCCACAAAAGTCTTGGGGAAAGGCAGGCAGAAGCCAGGCTCGCATGCCTGGAAGCTTTCTTAGCTTTTTCCAGCCACCTCAGTTAGTCTCAAAATCGCCCAGGGCTGCCCAGACCCTGCTCGGGGGTGCCTTGGTGCTCTGGGATGGATGGTTTTGCCAGGAGCAGCTCCAGCAGCTCCCAGTGCATCTGCCCTCGCTGGGACCCGTGTCCGTGGCTGCAAAAGGATGCGCAGGCACCTATTTCATAGCGGTGGGTCATCCTTCTGTCATCGGTTGGGAGGCACGTCTGCAGTGCCACCACCTTGCTCTGGTGATCTGTCCAAACCCCCTTTTGAAAGAGCTCATAATGTCCCTTGTCCCTCAGTGGGGACAAGGAGCATGTCACCTTGCCACAGAGGAGTCCCATTCTTAGCAGCTAATTTAGAGCGCTGGGAAGTAGTGCCCTGAAATCACCTGAACCTTGCCTGAAGGCTCAGCGCGACAGCTCCCGAGCCCTTCAAACAAATCTGGGTTAGCAGAGGACTTCGCAGCCAGGGCACTCTGCTCCCCTCCGGACCAGCGCTGTCTCAGGCGATGGTCCTGCCCCCCCAGCCTGGGGAGGAGACGTGCGGTGGGGCTGGGAGTGGTGATGGCTCCAGCTCCATCACTCCACCTGGCTGTGCGGGCCCACGGCTGGCGCCGCTCTGTGGTGGTGGGAGAGGGTTGTCGATCCCCCTCTGCTGCCGGGAGCCTTCCAGCTGGGCTTTTCATGGTGCTGGGCTTGCATGGGCGAGCCCTTGGGAGAAGGGCTGGAGCCCACGTCCTACCCAGGAGCATCCCTGGCCTCCTGGAGATGCTCAGCCCCGGCTGGTGTCAGCGTAGGAGCTGCAAACAGCTTTCCTCCATCCCTTTAGGTGGCTGGTTGGACACCAGGCATTGGGACATGAGCAAAAGCTGAAGGAGGGTCTTGGGGTCTCTGGCGCGACATTGGGCACAGCGTGTCCTCTATGCCGGCGTTTTGGGGAGTGCTCGGCTACCTTGCCCTCGCTGGCAGGTTGCATGAAAGAGATGAAAGCGCCTATGCTCTTCTCTCTCCCACGTGCTGCTGAGTGGCCGTGCTTTATCATACTTATTGATTTTGATCTTACAACCAATTTAATAACACAGCTCTCCCCAGCCTCTGGGTGCTCCTGACTTAATTAAGTCCCTTTTCTGCTCTCCCATCAGCCCCGTGGGTAGCGGGGGCTGGGCATGGGCTGGGGCACTGGTGAAAGGGAAAGTGCCATCAAGGCTAAAAGGCCCCTATATATATTGGGGATAAGCAGCCTGATGTGCTGGGAGTTGTGGGTGATGCTGGGGGGATGCATCCCGCCTACTGCTGGGACTGGGTTTTGCAGCTGACCCCTTGTGCTGGGGGAAAGGAGGAAGAGGAGGCTGGGAAAAGGAGTTGAACCAACCTGGTTTGCTGATATGAGAGCTTTAGGCTGCCAGGGTATCCTAGGAAACCCAACCGCCTTTCTAGAGGGGCAGGCTGGTCCCTGCCGTACCTGGGGGAGAGGGGGAGAGAAAGAGTGCTAATTGCTCAGCGCGCCAGAGAGCTGCTCTGGCCTGTAATTAGATGAATTAGTGGAACAATGACCCAATTTCCCTCAGTTTTTGGATTGCTGCAAACAGCCCCGAGGTTGCTGCCTCCTTCTGTCCCGCTCTCCTCCCCGTCCCCTCCTCTCCCATCCCCTGCTCCTCCACTGCAGCCCTCCCTCCTCCTCCTCATCGAGTGCCCCAGGGACCGAGCCCGGATGGGAGAGGAGGCCACGAGCTCCGGCACCCATCTGTGCTCCTGCAGCTCTGCCAGCATCCCTGAGCCGCAGCATCCCCGCCCCCCCAGCAGGTACAAGGCCCCCAAGTATTTCCGCTGCTGGACTCGGTGTGCACCAGCTCCCTTCTGCCCCAATTTGTTTTCCAGAGATGGGCTTCAAAAAAATCTTTGTGTTTTAAAAGAAAACCTCTAGAGTCCTCCCTGTGCCTGCCAGTTGCCTTCCAAGGTCATCAAACTTTCATTACTATAGATTTTTGAATGCATGTGAGGTTCTCGGCTCCTTCTCAGCAGTCCCAGAGGTGGGACTCTAAGGAAGCTTCGTGTGTGGAAAAAGCCAGAGGAGCTGATGGCTGGAGGTGCTGCTGGGGGAGCATCAGGGGAGCAACCCCCGTCTCTGGGGCACCATCTCTGGTCCATGTGCTGCCTGCCTGGAAGGGAGTTTGAACCCGCGCAGCTGTGATGAGCGCTACATCTGCAGTGTTGACTGCGTGGCAGGGGTGATGACCGGCACTGCGGTGTGGGGCTGGCCCCAGCCCTCCTGGAGCACAGGGGGCATTCATGGGGGGGGCTGGGTGGCCCCTGGGTGGCTTTGGCTGGCCAGACTGGCCCATGAGCTTTGGTGCCAGCTTCAAACTGGCCTTGATGGAATGTGGGCTTTGGGAGGCGTGGAATCTCTGTATCTGCCCAGGGACATGGTGCTCCTCATGGCTCCCTCCAGCCTGGCCTGAGAACATGGCCCTTGGCACCGGGGTGGCCAAGGGCTCTTCCTGGGGTAACTCTGCTCTCTCCCTGTCTGCCCGCAGCATCCTCGCCACCGCTGGGACGCACTTCAACACCCACGTGGACCTGCGGACGCTGCGGGCCGTGCGCGTGCTCAGACCTCTGAAGCTTGTCTCGGGCATTCCCAGTAAGTTGATGCTCCTGGCCCTCCTCCTGGGGTGTCAGCATCTGTCCCTGGTGTCCTTCAGGGTGAGAGGGGTCCTCGTGCCACCTCAGAGACGTGGGGTGAAATCAGGGGAGAGGAGGACAAACCTCCCCCTGGAGTGGGAACTCAAGGATGGCAGTGTTTGGTGTCCCCAGGTGGCATTTCCCCCCACCCAGCTTGCTCCGTGCTGGCACAAGGCTGGGCTTGGTGGCTCGCTGGGGCCTGCCGGTGGCTCCGCTTCCCCGGCCAGAAGGCGGTGGGTGGATCCTTTCAGGACTGAGGTTTATTCAGGGGAGATTTTGGGTTTTTTTGCAAGGTTTCTTCTGCCGGCATGGGAATAAATAAAGAAACTAGGCTGCTGCTGGCACCAGTCTTCCCGTCCCTCCTGTCCTGGGCACCAGCTGGGCTCTGTGCTGGATCTGTGCCTTGGGGGGGAGTGAGGGGGGCAGAGTGGCACAGGCCACGTCCCACCATGTCCAGGTGGGACAAGGACAGGGAGGATACCAGAGAGGGGACCAGATCCAAAACCCAGTCCTTCTTGGCTCCTTGCTCTGCAGCCTGGCCCTCCCTGCTTCCCCCTGGGATGGTGCTTTCCTCCATGGTCCTTAGCTGCCCAAAAAGGGGTCCTCCAGGCTGTGCTAGCCTCTTGCATCTCTCTGATGACTGTCCATCCTCTCTGCTCACTGCTCTCCTTTTGCCAGAGGTGGGATGGACATGCCCCAAGGCAGGGGTTTGCATCACCGTGCTGAGCTGTGCTCTTTCTTTCCCCTCCCAGGCCTGCAGATTGTGCTGAAGTCCATTATGAAGGCCATGGTGCCTCTCCTTCAGATTGGCTTGCTGCTCTTTTTCGCTATCCTCATGTTTGCCATCATCGGCCTGGAGTTTTACAGCGGGAAGTTGCACCGAGCCTGCTACACAAACAATTCAGGTGGGCAGAAGGGCTCTGCACCCGCGCCGCATCCCACGGGTGGAAAACAGCTGGGGCAAGTTCATGTTGCTAGCGTGGGAAACCCAGGGCGAGGAAATCCTGCATTTTGCTTTATGCACACCAGGCATCACCCAGTTGTGTTCAGGATGTCCCAGTTTCTTACTGGGGGAAGTTTGTGTGCAGCCAGGGCTAATCCCAGTGAGATCCCCCTGCTCTGCCCCAAGCCTGTCTGTGTTCAGGCTCTTCCCCTTGGTGGTCCCCTCTTACCTCTGCCTCTTTTGGCTCTCCACTGTGTGCTCACAGGTGAGCTAGAGGAGCTGGACCCCCCCCATCCATGCGGGGTGCAGGGTTGCCCCCCAGGCTACGAGTGCCGGGAGTGGATTGGTCCCAACGACGGGATCACGCAGTTCGACAACATCCTTTTTGCTGTGTTGACCGTCTTCCAGTGCATCACCATGGAAGGGTGGACCACAGTCCTGTACAATGTGAGTAGTGCTGCTCTGGGGTCTCTTTGGGCAGCTGGGGACATGGGGATGGGGAGCCAGAGACAGTATTTCTGTGTCCTGGAAACCTGTGAGACGCTGAGTTTCCTTTGTGGTGGAGATGGGGTCCTTTGTATTTGGGCAGGAGATGGGGAATAAAGCGGTGTGTGTTATGTGTCTCTGGGCAAGGGGAGCTCTAAGGGCTTTGGCCCCCATCTCTGGGCTGGTTGTGCAACCCCTTGCAGAGAGCAAAACCTTGTGGGCATGGGCTGCAGCAAGCCTCGTGCTCGAGGGCTGTCCCTCAAGGAGCAGGGAGGCATCCTTCCTTCCCTCCTCCTCCTCCTGTGTTCTCTGGGGCAGCTCTATAAGCATGGATGTGGTTTCTGGGCACTGTGCATCTGCTCTCCCTGCAGACCAGGCGGTGGATCTGCCTCCCTCCCTGCAGCAGCCTTGGGAAGCCCCAGAGCTGGCCTCAGACCCCCTCCCTGGGGCAGAGGCAGTGACAGGGAGCTGAGACCTTTGGTATTGGTGCTGCAAATGTCTGGCAGTGCTGACGAAGCTGGGCTGGGTGCCTGTGGTTTGCAGCCGCTTGAAGTTGCCGATGCCTGAGCCCTTGGGGCAGCAACAACTTGGGGGCAAAGCTGGAAGCAGGAAAAAAGCTACGAGCAGTTACAAAGTGCGGTGTTGTTGTGGGTGATGGGCTATGTATGTATGTTTTACTTTATGGGCTAGAAGCAACCATGCCTGTTCTGTTCCCAGCCTAATTTCAGCATCAATTTCAGAAACATTGCACCAGGAATGTTTTGAAACCCTTGTTCCCATAATGCCTGGAGATTTGCAGAGTGGCATTGCTCTGTGGGAGGCAAATTGCATGGCTTGTGATGGGGAAAGTTGCTTCGATAGTTACTTTGTCATGAGCAGAAAGGCTGGTGTTTAACCCCAGGCGAAGGCACCGTGCTGCCAGCATTGGGGTCCCCCTCCTGCTCAGTCCATCCCGGGGTCCTTCTAGGCATGCAGGATGGCATGTGTGGGCAGACAGGCCATGAAACCCAGACTGGGGTAGAAAGGGGAGAGTTTATGGCAAGGAGTGGTCCTTGCCACAAGGATTTGGTTTTCCTCCTCTTAAAGGAGATGGCGGTATCTGGAGCTTGCTGCTTTAGTGGGGGAATTAGGCAGGATTGAACCACCTGCGAGTCCAGACTGAAAAAAGACCATTTCTTGTCTGCTTCCGACGTATGAATGAGATCAGAGACTTGACTACGGTGCCTATTGCCCAGGCATAATTGAGTATAGCGTGAAAGGTGAATTTTCCTGCCTGGTGATGAGGTTCCCCTGCCTTTAGCGCAGCTGGGCAGCCGTTGCCTGCTGACACTGCTGTGCCGCAGCCCATGCGTGCCCGGCGCTGCCCCTACCTGGCACCAGCACCCTGCCCTGCACCTTGTTTCTTGCATTAATGACCAGCTCTCTGCAAAAGCTAGGGGCTGCTTCCACCGGAGCTCCCCATGCCCCCTCCTCCCCGTCCTTAGCCCCTGCAGCAATTGGCAGCAGCGCTCCGCGTGCTAGAGCCCTGGCTGCGGCATGTGAGGAGCTGGTGAGCTACACGGACAGGCAATTTATGGTCTGATTGACCTCGTGGGTTTGTACCGGCAGGCTCCGAGAAAGTCTGGTCTCCTGCCGGTTATGGTGTCCTTACTGGGAAGGCTGGAGCTGATCTATTTGATATCTGGGATTTGCTGATCCACCATCTGGGTCTTACTGGGGCGGGGGTAAGAGTGGGAGATGCTGCTGGCAACACTGATAACCATGCTCTGCAGGACCTACCCGTGGAATCCCCTGTTTACCACCACAGTTGCTAAATCGGGGGCTCTCTGGGTCACAGCCCCGGTATCCGAATGCTCTTCCCAGCACCAGTTGCAATGCCAGGCAGGTGCGCTCTGTCACGGTGTTCCTGATGGCTGGGACCGTAAGGTGCCTCCCTTTCCAGCTCCTCTGCAAAGAACCAGCTATTACTTACCTATAATGGAAAGGATTAGGGACCATCCTTGGCTTTTAATTGAATGAGGATTGGGGCCTTGGTATTAGTAAAATGCTGCTGATTCACTCTGGGAGGCAGCGAGGGACGGACACTGTTCCCAGCACTGTCAGGCTGCGCCTCCCGCCCTCCCTGGGAACACGGGCTGTCTCGCAGGGTGCCTCTAGGTTGCAAAGGCTATGGGTGCTCAGTCCTTTTGCAGCTTGGGGACAGCAAAATGGGCTTCTGCCTTTTTTTTTTTTCTTTTTTAATAGAAAAATGAGGCATACACATGGAGGATGCGGTCCCTGGAGGATGCTGGAGGGAGGGCTGGGCAGGGGTGGAAAGCCACTGGGATGCTCTGCTGTCACCTGCATCACTTGGAGCAGCAAACCAGAGCAGGCTCCCACTGCTAACCAGTATGGACCTTGCCCAGCACACGCCCCAGGTTTGGGGGGATCGGTGGGGGACTCTCTGCTTTCCCACCAGAGTAAAGCAGTGGGAGGCCGTGTCCTTGCAGGTTAATGCCACAGAGGAGAGGGAGATTGCAGGAAAACCACTTTAGCAGTCTCTCAAAGAAATTGCTTACTATACAATTCCCCTGTGTAACTGGTTTGTGATTTTAAGATCCATTTTTCCACAATTTTACCGGGTCTAGAAGTATGGCTCCTGGCATTTGTAGATAGCATCACGAAAAGCTATTTGGCTCCGTGGTACTTCCCACGTGTGTTATTTCATGGTTGTGTTTGCCTTTTTGCCTTGTTTTCGTCAGCCTTGCCTGTGTGAAACACCGTCTTGCTAGGTAGAAATCACAGTATGGAGTGGGGAAAAAAAAAAAAAAGCCTCAAATTTTGGGGAGGTTATGGTATTTCCAGCCCCCATCTCTGGGAGCCTGAAGGACTTTAACTTCTTTTAGAGGGCAGTTTCAGCTTTGTGGTTCCTCTGTCTGTCTCTGTGGTCCAACACAGGGGCTAAGGAGTATTTTGGTTTTCTTCTTACGCTGGACCAGATGCCCCTTCCCTGGGCTGGCTCGAGACCAAACCTGATTTCTGTAGGGACTGGAGGGAAACGTAATGCTGGCAAAGAGGCTCGCTGTCCTACTTCCCCATGCCAGCACACTGGCAGAGGTGGAGCAGGAGCCAGGCTGCAGATTTGTCATTTAAGAGCGATGCTGGGGTCGGGGAGGGGGTGGCTGGGCTGGCGAGGGGCTGCCGGTGCGTGCCACAGGGCTGGCTGGGCACCCAGCAGGTGCTCAGCGGTGCTGGCGGCTTCAGATGCTCAGCCCGGCTCCCCCGGTCCTGGAGAGCAAACAGGAGAGGAGTTTGAAATCATTATTTCCTCCGAAATGCTGCCTCGAGATGACTGTATTTATTCACCGAGATTGTTTATTTGCTTTCCAGTTTGGAAGCGCTCAGCCGCTGTGTTTGCAGGTAGTGAGGAGGAGCCTGGCTTGCTGGGAGCTGCCACTCTCCTCTTCCCCCACGCTGCCGGGAGCTGAGATGGGAAGAAAAACACCCGTGGCAAGCATGTGCTGGGGCCGTGGGCTGGGCCTGGTGGGCTTTGTAGGGAGAGGAACCAGCCCTGCCTGTCCCGGCGGGGCCCCTTGCCCGGAGCACTGCTCTGTGCTCTCTGGTAACACCGGCCACGCAGCGCAGGATGGCAGCCCCCCGTCGGGCATTAGCATTAGGTTAGTGCAGGACAAATGGCAACACGAGTGCATGGAGAAAGCTGCTGTTCATAGCTGTGGGATCAATGCGACTGTGGGCAGATGCAGGCAGGGGAACCAGGGCTGCCTGCTCCTCCTGCAGCGTTGCTCTGGGGGTCCGAGGCTGCTGCGAGGTGCAAGCGGTTGCCGTTGTGAGCGGTTGCTGAGGTTGCATGTGGTTGCAAGGGGCCACGGGTACAAGCATGGGCACGTGTCCAGCCGTGGCCTCGGGAACCCTTCGCTCGCACCAGGAGAGGCTCCGAGCGCTTCACGGGTGCAGCAGGGCCGACGCAGAGAACCAGAGCCTGCCGCGTGGGGAAAGCCTCTTTCCCGGCATGGATCTGGCCGTCAGCTTGAACTCCTGATCCTAACCTTGTGGCTCCAGTAGATTCCCAAGAGTCAGAGCAACCTGCAGACAGGCGGGAGTGCCTGCACCGTGGGGGTAACCAAACTGCAGCCAGGCTATGCAAAGAGCCGACTTGACTTTGCACGGGGCCACGGCTATTGGCAACCCTGGGTAATGGCATTTGCTTCCTAAGCACAGGTGTTACAGCAGCACTGGAAGAGCATCCATGCTGCTAATTAAAAAGGCATGGCGAGGCCTAATGGGAGCGAGATGGTCACAGTTGCTTGCTAGAAGCCCAAAAAGCCTCTCATGGTGCAATGGATTGGGACTATAGGGAAGCAGGGAGGGCGAAAAGGCACAGGGAGCCTTAGAAGATGCTGGGGCGGAGTGCTGGGAGCCTTCTGGGTGCTTTTGCAGCAGGAGGAGAGCGTTTGCTGGGGGAAGGAGAACCAAGTGCTTGGCAGCTTCCAAAATACCTACCAAAATGCGGTGGTCGTGGGCAGATCTGTGTGCCATAGCCTCAGGGGAGATGGGGCAAAGCCCCGTGCAAAGCTGCACAGCCGCCTGCAAGCAGCCGGGCGGTTGCAAACCCGCTCGTGAGGTGTGAGGCGCGAGCCCCGCACGCAGAGCCCGGCAGCTCCGACTGCGAGAGCGGCTGCAAAGGGCGGGGTGCCGCAAGGACCGGGGTTTGCAGCCAGCGCGACTCAGCTGCCACCTCCCTCCAGCCTGGCCGGGTGGGCACGGGGGGAGCCCACCCTGCGGGAGCGCTGGAGCCGCCCCGCTCTTTGGGATCGCCTCTAAATGCGGGGACCTCGTCATGTGCACGACGAATCTCACCACGCGCGCAGGTCAGGGTTTCACGCTGCTGGGTGCGGGGCTGAGTTTTCAGAAGTTGGCTTGGGCTGGTGTTGACTGTGAAGCGGCAAACCTGAGGCCTTCTG